GGATCTGGGAGGAGGTTCGGGGAAGGAGGGGGAAGACCCGCGGTGTTAGTACTGAGGTTCTGGGAGACAAGGAACGGTGGGAGGCTCGGGGAGATAGGGGGGAAGAGGGAAAGAAGGGGGGAAGGGAGGTTCGGGGAGATTGATTGATTGATTGATGTTGTTGTTGTTGTTGTTGTTGTTGTTGTTGTTGTCGGTCTTTTGTAGCGAACTGTTGTCGTGCTCCTATCTTTTGAGCTTTCGGGGGGGAGGTTCGGGGAGATTGGTTGATTGATTGATTGATTGATTGATTGATTGGTTGATTGATTTTTGTTGTTGTTGATCGTTTGCAGTCCGCTGTTGTCGGGGAGATAGGGGGTGATGGTTTGCTTAATTGTTTTCAGTGAGCAGACCGGCGGATGCTGATAGAGAGTGGACGAGGGAGAGCGTTGAGGGAGGGAGAGCATTGAGGGTTGTTGAATGAACTGGCTTTAACCAGCATTGCTCCTTCCGCTTTCATCGTTTCGTTGCAGGATGACGAAGAGCCGTAGTGAGGCCGTGAAGAAACACTTCACGGAAGTGGGGGACAGCGGCAGAGCCGACAAGGGTAACAAACAGCGGATCTGCAATTATTGTGACAAGCCTGTGGCCGGGACAGAGAGCAGGGCAAGGGACCATTTCTGCTGCAATTATTTTAACAAGCCTGTGGCCGGGACAGCGAGCAGGGCAAGGGACCATTTCTTGAAGGGTTCGCGATGCGATGTCGAGCGCCTGCGAGCTGTTGTGCCGAGAGAAGAGTACTCGAGGAGGGTGAAGGGGAGATTGGCTGCGGGGTCGGAGTTGGGAGCCGTTACGAGAGAGACTGCCGAGGGGGGGTCATCGGAGGACGACAACGAGCAGCGGACTGTTGAGGGCGGAGTGGTTGATCGATCGAAGTCTGCGGTGGGGCTCCGTCATGCGACTCCCCAGTCGTCCACAGGTGTGGTCGGCCTCTGTCAAACAACGATGGAGGACAGTGCTGCCGTTATCACGGCGCACGAGCAAACACAGCGCACAGTGGATGACTGGATGACGGCAGAATGCATCCCATTCAATATGATGCGGAGCGAGTACTGGGACAAAATGGTGCATGCACTCGTGACTGCGCCCAAAGGATTCCGGTACACGAAATTCGAGACCGCAAGAACAAAGAGGGTTGAAGTGACGAGGGGAAGGGTCGCGATGAGGGTGGAGGAGCTGCGGCAGGAGTGGCCAACCACTTGCTGCATGTTGCAGCTTGATGGTTCGACAGATCGCCGACAAAGACCACACATCAATGTGATGGTCTCCTTCCCGAAGGGCTCTATCTTCTGGCGAAGTGTGTGCATGTCAGGGCGCAACAAAAGTGCCTCGGCATACTATGGCATTCTGAAGAGGGCAATAGAGGAGATAGGTGCGGAGGCAGTGGTGGGGGTCGTTATGGACAATGTTGCCGTTTGTGCAGCTGCGGGGCGAATGGTGGAAGCGGATCACCCGCACATCTTCTCGGTCCCATGCACAACTCACTCGCTCGACCTCATTTTCGAGTCTTTCGCGAAGATCACGTGGGTGGGCGAAGTTATTAAAAGGGCGTCGGAGGTAGCAAAGTTCTTCACGAACCTTTCGCGGGTACGGGATCTCCTCCTCCACTACTCCAATGGCAGCGTCGTGGCAAAACCGGTGCGACCCGGTTTGCCACGAACTTCATCATGCTGTCGAGCCTGCAGGGGTTGTACTTGCCGCTGCGAGCGTGTTTGACGGACGACGATTGGAAGCCAGCGATTGTGCACACTTCGCAACACGAACTGTTTGTGAGGGTGACACATGCCATCTTCGACGACACCTTCTGGGCAGATATCGAGAAGGTGATGCAAATGTCCAAGAACCTCCTCAAGCTTCTGAAGAAGGTCGACGGCGCGGGCCCCACCATCAGTAAGGTGTACGCCCGTATGGACAGCGCTGTGGAGAAACTGAGGGAGAGCAGGCACTTCATGGAAGCAGAAAAGGATGAGCTAGAGGCTATAGTGATGCGGCACTGGAATACAACGACTTCACCACTGCATTGTGCTGCGCTGTTTTTGGATCTGGAGTGCAGAGCGTTGCAGCCGGAATCCGATGCAGAGATTGTGGACGGTTTTTGGACATGGCTTTACTCGTGGTGCAAGGAGGCTGCGTACAGGGAGGTCGACGCGGAGGTCTGTTCTTGGATCCGGAGGGCACCGGGAGGCACACTACCGACATTGCGAGGACACAAGCCCGTACGATGCAGCCGGCGAGGTGGTGGCGGAAGTGGTGCAGCGACATGCCCATCCTCCAAAAGCAAGCCGTTCGCCTCCTCGGACAAGGCTCCTCCTCCTCTAGTTGCGAGAGGAATTGGAGCTTGTTCGAACGGATTCACAGCCGTCTCCGCAACAATCTTGGCGCCGTTAAGCTAAGCACGCTGGTTTTCAACAGATGGAACCAGCACTTGTTGGACTTCTTGACCAAGAAACCGAAGGCTGACGATGCGGCGAAGTGGGAAGAGGATGAGCCGGTGGAAGATCTCACACGAGATGAGATGGCGTCGGATGCACGCCTGCGGTTGGGGGAGTGGCGTGCCCGCTTGCGCGGAACACATTTGGTCCACGACAAAGGTGAGAATGACGACTCGGGCTCCGACGAGGAGGACATTCCTGTCCAAGCGCAACAAACGGCTGTTGCAGAGAGGAGGTCACAGTTCAGCATCGTCGGCTGCGCAGCGAGTTGTTCGAGCTCGAGAGGGAGCTCAACGAGTTGTGGAGGAAGGCAACGAAAGCTTCCAAGTTTTTGGCCCGGCAGCATTTGCATGACTTGGATCAGGCTACCAGGACCATGACCCTCGAGCATGCCAACAAGTACAAAGCTGCGCGGGCTGCTGCATGTGCACCACCCTCCGTACCCGCCAAACGAGGGAGAGGGAGACCTCGAATGGACGCTGTGACTCATGGGGGGACAGGTGACGAGGAAGTTGAAGATGCGGAAGGTGGAGATTTGGAAGGGGTTGGTGCACCCACACGTGCGACAAGAAAGCGGGGACGACCACGGAAGGCGCCCGTGGAAGAGGAGGAGGCTGGAAATGGAAGGGGGACACGGAAACGGGGACGTTTGCAGGTGCAGCCCGCCGAAGAGGAGGAGGAAGCAGCGCTTGAAAAGACGAGCAGCGCTGACAAACATGGCAGCAGCGACGGAAGCAGCAGCAGCGACGAAAGCGGGGCTGAGCATAATGAAAATGACGGGAGCGGCGGCAGCGGAGGTGCGCGTGATGGCAGCGACAGCAGCGATGAAAGTGTAGGTGGTCGTGGCAGCAGTGATGGCGGCGAGAAAGACGGGAGGTCGTCGGAGGAAGAAGACGACTCCGAATGCGAAGGCCAGTAGGGAGATGGGAGTTCGTCGGAGGCAGAGGACGACTCCGACTAACAGCGCAGTCAGACATCGTGCTGGAGAGAGAGAGAGAGAGAGAGAGAGAGAGAGAGAGAGAGAGAGAGAGAGAGAGAGAGAAACCATTTGGGCATTTTAGATGGGAGGTCGTCGGAGGAAGAGGACGACTCCGAATGCGAAGGCCAGTAGGGAGATGGGAGTTCGTCGGAGGCAGAGGACGACTCCGACTTACAGCGCAGTCAGACATCGCGCTGAAGAGAGAGAGAGAGAGAGAGAGAGAGAGAGAGAG